AAAGGAGTCATGGCTTGGAGTTTCCTCCCCCTCCAGCAAGGGTGCTTCCCATCTCACTACTTGTCCTCGAGGAAAGTGCACACCTGGAGGAGTTCTGGAAAGGGAAAGGACAAGGAGAAGTTCAGATCCTGCCTTTCAGCACTCCCATCCCACCAGCACGCTCCCAGCCACACCAACAGTGACATTGTGTGGAAAATACATCCTGTGTGCCACAAAAAAATGTGTGTTAACCACAAATGGCACTAAACACACACTGAGGGGACAGGGGGGTCTTTCTACCATTCCTCAAAGTGCCTCTTTGCTAAAGGGGAGTAAAATTCTTTGACACCCATTGATGCCAGGAGACTTCAAGACTTTTTTTTTTCCAGTGAGTCCAAGGAATTTTGAGAAAAATCTATTGGCATCTTCATGGGTTATCCTCATTTTGCTTGAAAATTGAAATGGACAGCTACAAAACCTGTGCCTGGGAGACTAAGAACATGCAATACATGAACTGTTTCCCAGGGCTGGTGGAGGTACCTGATGGATTGCAGGTATTGAGGCTAGCCACTGAGGCATAGTATTGATCTCCAAGGAATTCCTTATATGTTATTCCATCACGGAGTTTCACCAGGCACTTGGTCAGGTCTTTAAACAGCAGATCCTTGGTTTCAGACTCAAACATCTTGAACCTGTCTTTTGCCACTCCTTTGGTTCCAAACAGTTTCTGAAATAAAGGCACGGAGAGGTAAGTGTGTGTAAGAAGTAGAAAGATGACAAGATACGGCTTGTGCAAGCCCAGATTTTAGTCCTAGTTCTTCACCATCACCCCAGGGAGCCCCCAGCTGAGGGAAAGGAAAAGGAGCTGGGTTCTCAAGTGCCTCTCACAGACCCTGACAGTGGAGGAAATGTTGTTTCCAGTGTAAAATCCAACAGAGCTGGTTTAACCTGGTTAGGATTACAGCAGTAGCTGCAGAACTGTGTGTGTGCAGGGAGGCTGCTGCCTCCTTGGGTTAGAGACCATCCCAGAGGAGCACGACAACAGCAGCTACTACAATCTGCCTGTCCCCTAAAGGTGCATTTGCCAAGGTGGCTGAGGAGAAAGAGCAGTTTGGAAGGGATGGAGGGCTAAGGGACCAGGCTCTCACCCCATACTGGTGTGTTAAAATCTTCCACATTGACCCAGAGCCTCGTTGCTCCAGAAATGCAAACGTGTTGCATAAAACCAACCCCAGCACACTTCCCTCCTACTGACCTCCTGTCTTTCCAGCAGCTCACGGACTTTTCTTGCCCTCTCAGGACGTGTGATCACAGCGTGGGTAGGAACCTTGGCCAAGTGGCAGGTCCTGTAAGCCATGACGTTCTCCCGTCGCCCGTCAGTGCACAGCAACTCAAATTGGTCCATTTTCAGATTTTTGGCCCATTCTTCTCTATTTTTGCCTTTAAAGAAGATTGGGTTGGAGATGCAGAGATCTTGCAGAGCCATGTCAGCCTCACAACACCTAAGCAAGGCACTTGTCCCTGCCTGCACATGCACTGATACTTGGAGACTCAGTGTGTACAAAGGAGTCTGCAATTAAAACTCAGGAAAAGTCAGTGGGATGAGTCAGATTCTCAGAGCAGGCTGGGAGATTTCCTTACATCTCCCTCCCTGCATTTTTATTTTCCCCAAAATGCTTGGAAAACTTCAGCTGCTGCTTTCAGAAACGTGAAGTTTTCCTTTCCAAGCAAGCAGGGAGCTAGAGGGCTGCACCAGGGTGTCGAGGCTGGATTCTGTGCCTGAATAACCGTGCAGCTGGAATGAAATGAGAGCTGGTGGGGAAGTGCCTCTGCAGAAATGCCTGGGAAGAGCCACCCTGGGCAGACACCTGAATTTTGCTTCTCTTGCAGGAGGTGTGAGACTGACAGGATGAGGAGGTAAAGCTCATTCACCCTCTGCACCAGGGGCAAAAAGATAATGCAGCCCTGCCAAGACCTGTGCCACAGAACAACCACATACCCTCAGTGTTTTCCTCCACGATGGAATGCTTAATAAAGGCCACGTCCCCTCGCTCAACCAGGCACCTGGGAAGTACAAAGAAAGGCAGGTGAAGGGGGTGCTTGAATTCTAGCCCTCTCCAGATTTGATTCTGACCTAGGTCTTATTTTATAACATTAACCTCTGAGGACAGGCAGCTCTAGGAGCCCTGCCATGAATATTTTAAGGATACCTAAAACACAGTCTGGAAAAAAAAAAACTTATGTGTCTTTCTCACATGCTAAGTAGCCAATTTGTTTTATTTTCAATATTATTATTATTGTTTTATTTTATATTTCTGAGGCTTGAGCTGATTCCAAGCACGTACAGAGGCAATGGCACCTGGGCTGACCTCTGGTCTCTGCACTTTTTGGAGGGTGGCTTATTTTAACTCAGGAAGGCAACTTCCCTCATTGGATGCAGAGTACCTGAGAGCAACCTGAGCGTCTCCACCACCTACCTGAAAGCTCCAGTGTATCCATAGTATTTCTCATGGCTGCTGGCAACACATTTCTCTGGTGGGACCCCCCCTGAGCCCTGGCAGAGCTGGCAGAGACGGGAGTTGGGAGGAGAGCCAGGAGCACAGCCCTCACTGAAATATTCATCTGAACACAGGGATAAGGAAAAAAAAAATCACTTTTCCTGCACTGAAAAGTTAGGGTTTATTTTTAACAATTCATTCTCCTACTGAACTTGTACCAGCAGTCACTGGGAGCTGGGAACAGACTGGGAGAAGGATTCAATGGACAGCACACCACGTGCTTTCTGTTTGCACTGGGAATCTTGTGTCCTGTGATTCCTGATAATGAAGCAGCACCTCAGGCTCGATTGCAACAGGCACTATCTTGGCAGATATTTCATCAATACAGAGATTCTGAACAACCCCTAAAGTCCCAGAGCCAAGACAGACTTTTACCCCTTTACTCCCTTGCAGGCAGATCAGTCCCTTTAAGTTTCCTGAACAAAGATCAGCTTCTGTCCCCTGCCCTCAGCCCTTCCCTTCTGGGATTTATAACTCCATCCTTTACCCCCACTCTACACCCTGCACAAACCCCAGTCCCCCTATACCTGGGGCAGCCTCTAGTCCCTTTTGGGGCATACCTTTGGGGCTGGTACAAAGGGAAGGGAAGAGATGTGAAAGGAAAGCAAAGCCCCCAAAGCAGCTCATGGACTATATCTTACAAGCAATCTCAAAGCAGTTACCTACACCCTAAAATTTTCCTCCATGACACCTGAAATAACAAACTCTTCTCCACTTCCCCCCTCCAGGTGGGAATCTTTGAGGCACGAGAAACTTCAACAAGCAGCTGAAGGATGGGAAAAGGTTTTCCCCATCAAGCCAGCAGGTTCCCAGCTGGAAGACAAGGATGCAAAGCTCAGCTCACCAAAATTGCAGTTTCCTGTCCTGTTGTGGATCAGGCCCATGGGGATGTTCCAGCCAGCAGTCCTCCCGACAGCAGTGTGACATGACTTCTTCCCCTGCAGGTTGTTCCACGTGATGTCGCCGTTGGATTTCTTCACGACAGCCACAGCAAAGTAGGATGCTTCCAGAAGAGAAAAAAGAGGAGAAATGAGCAGAAATAAGGATGGACCTGAGGACCTCAGTGTGCAGATGTGATGCATCTCCTCCCACCACGCTCCTGGGGTGTTATGATGCTTGGCATTTCCCTGCCCCACAGAACTCTGATGCTTGGGTGTGCAAGAAGGCTGTAGTGAGACATACCTGAGGAGTTCTTCTCTCCTCCTGATTTCTTCTGTCCTCTTTAGCAAAGCACAAAAACCTTCCCTCCTCTCCCTCTTCCCATTTCTCTAAAGAACAGTTTCCTCATGCTACAACCCAAGCTCCCTTTCCCTGCTCACAGCCCTGGCACCATTATGGTGTGGCTGTGCTCCAAACAGCAGCAACTAAGCACACATCTCTGCTGCTACCATAGGCTTTGACAGGCCCAGGATTTCCATCTGACCACTAAATTTGTCGCCCAGATTTTTGCTGTCTCCATTGGACACAGTAGATCTTTGTGTGGAGACTGGCTGTTTATCCTCCAGTTGTGACTGCTTATATATTTTTCTGCTTTTATCAGGACTGTTTTCTGTCCTTCTACTGGCAGTAATTACCTGGTTCTCCTTCTGCTTTGCTGCATTGACTGTTCTCTGAGGGAGGAAAAAAGAAGATATTCAATAGAAGATATTCAATAGAAGATATTCAATAGAAGATATTCAATAGAAGATATTCAATAGAAGATCGAGCTCACTAATTGCTGGAGAAATTTCATTTGAGAAATGACTCCTTCAGGTAGCACCTTGGGCATCACCAGAGCAAAGCACAGCCTCCATCTGCTCCTCTAAGCCAAACCACCTAGTTTTACCAAGGCTGGTGCTAAAGGACAGGGGCATCAGGATTCAAATGAGGAGGGGAGCTGGAGGTCGTTGTGAAAAAAAGTCGCCAGGCAGCAGCAGTTAAGCACACATCTCTGCTGCTACCATAGGCTTTGACAGGCCCAGGATTTCCATCTGACCACTAAATTTGTCGCCCAGATTTTTGCTGTCTCCATTGGACACAGTAGATCTTTGTGTGGAGACTGGCTGTTTATCCTCCAGTCGTGGCTGCTTATATCTTTTTCTGCTTGTATCTCTCAGGACTGTTTTCTGTCCTTCTACTGGCAGTAATTACCTGGTTCTCCTTCTGCTTTGCTGCATTGACTGTTCTCTGAGGGAGGAAAAAAGAAGATATTCAATAGAAGATATTCAATAGAAGATATTCAATAGAAGATATTCAATAGAAGATCGAGCTCACTAATTGCTGGAGAAATTTCATTTGAGAAATGACTCCTTCAGGTAGCACCTTGGGCATCACCAGAGCAAAGCACAGCCTCCATCTGCTCCTCTAAGCCAAACCACCTAGTTTTACCAAGGCTGGTGCTAAAGGACAGGGGCATCAGGATTCAAATGAGGAGGGGAGCTGGAGGTCGTTGTGCTCAGAGTTGCCTCAGAGCTCTGTGTGCTTGCTGCAGGATGCAGCACTGAGGCTGCTTTCTAGATTTCAGAATAAAAAGAGTGTCTTTACACCAGCCTGTTCCCCACCACCCGGGCCCTGATGGGCAGCCTGGGCTCTGCTTACCCTCATAGTTTTCTCCCATCACTGGCACCAAGCCACACACGCCAGCAGTGTAGACAAAACCTCCATCCAAGCTGATAGCATCTGCTTCACCTTTCTGCAATGAAAAGGGGGCAGTGCTTTTCAGAAATCAGACTGTAAAAGAAGCACCCAGTGCAGGGGAGAAGAGCTTGGGGCTAAGGGGATGTGGGAGGCTGAAATTATCACTCCTGTGCACTTGTACCCACCTCCAGCAGCAGCTCTTCTCCCCAGGCTCTCAGAGGTGTGTGTCTTTCCTAGCCTGGTTTCCCACCAGACAGGTTTCCACGTCTCACCTGTCCTTTCCAGTCTGCATTTTGTGCTGTCTTCACAG